AAACCGTAGCAGGGTGCTAACAAAGTTATATAAAATGTTGAAATTCGATATATATGTGAAAACGGGGAAGGGGGGTGGGGGGGGAATGTATTTATGTCTCATCACGAAGATTCTCCATAGCCAATAGCCTTGATAGCAACTGTTTGCAGATAGTGATGGAAGCAAAATGATCATTCCCTCAACCTGAGTTCAACAACCAGCAGCCGGTCTTCAACAACCTCCTGGTCTTCGTGGTCGTCGCCTTAACACGCTCTCAAGAAACGAATTTATTGTGCAGATCGAAGTCGCTGCCAAGCCGCTCCTCGTTGTTCCATTCACAATCGAAGTCGCAGCACGGGAGAGGCCTGTTGGAAGAGTGTTTTCACTACCTGTGCTAGCCTCTAAGGGAGCCTCGCTAGTGGAAGCAGCAGCCTTTCCCGTTCTTTGCTGGGTGGTTCCACCGCGCACACCAAGCTTTTTAAAGGGAGCAACTCCTACAAAAATTTGTGTCTCGGGGCATGGATGATTTGACACTGCTATTGATGGATTAGATGATTAAGATGTTTTCTAATATGTCACATGAACTTGTAATAGCCTCATTATTGTATGCTTACCACCGCCTTCCCCCAAACACATAACACCCTAATTTGGAATGTATTGGACTTGAAAGTTAGTTTGTAATAGTTTATTATCAGGGTGCGTTATTTTCGGGGCAAGGTGGTTCACACGACAGGTTTTGCCATAACCATTCAATCACCATGCTTGCTTTTCTTGTGTTGGGGGTTTGTTGTCAAAGAGATTGATTACCCACACGCGTGCCTTTGTGTGGTAGTTGCTGACTGGCTCACTATTTTAGTATTTTTTCCATCGTACGTTTGATCGACCGGACACCGATCAAAAGAGGAGTATATAAATAGAGGGACATGCTTCACCGCCTCTTATTTGCATTTCTCTCCGGAATCTGAAATGCAACTGCTGCTATTTCAACTTATTTGTGATGACCTCACGTGCATTGCTTTTTTACTCAATGCGGAAAGCGTAGCTGCTGTAGAAGGATAGACTGGAGGGACGAGGCAGGGAGGGGGGTTTGTGCCTCTAATCTGTGATGTGGTACTTCGTCTTGGTGGAAAAAGTAACCGAGGAACGAAAAATAGCATTTCCAGAGTGTGTGTGTGTGTGTGTGTGTGTGTGTGTGTGTGCAGATGCAGAAAACAGGTGTCAGTATATGTAACCAACACGTAGAACACATAGCCGTGCGAACGCGGCGTACATATGTGTGAAACAATCTCGAAATATTTCACGAAAGATCATATTTAATGCGCATGAACATCATAGCCGTAGCTATGGTCACCTCCTTCCACTTCGTCAGGAAAGAGTGAAAGCCCAAGAGAAGAGAGTGCTGGCATCCCCGACTAGTTTCGGTTGCTGCCAGTTCACGACCTCATCAGGGGGAACAGTTTCGAGATGTCGAATCCCTAGGAACTACCTGTCCTAAGTACTTGATCGTCACATCCAGAGACTACTCGAAAACTCACTTCTCCGTACTACGTCTCCGAAAACCGTGGGCGTGTCCTTCAGCCGCTGTAGATGCCTTCGCCAGCTTTCTCAATCGGGTTCAGGACTCCTCACCCGCCCTACTGATTTTTCATTTTCCCCCCTTCTCTCGACAGGTCCCGTGTGAATCGGAAAAAACAAACCACCCTGAGTAGACATCCTAAAAAATCCTACGAAATCCATAAGAATCCCAATCGAATAAACTCCTAAAATCCTCTGAAATCCACAAGAAACCCAAATAAATAAACTCGGAGAAAAAACCGGAAAGGACAAACAGGAAATCCAAAACGTGTGAGCTAAGTCCAAGCCTCAGTCCTCTGGGTTTTCGTCGGCTTGCCACATTCTTACCCCTCGGAGCAATGCTATATTCATCACCGCTTCACGAAAAAGCCCCCGCTAGTACGTTTCAGAAAACGTGTTACTGCTCAGTTAGGGAAACCTCCATTATCTGACTCAGTAAAAGCTCTTAGCTAGGCCCACAGTCATAGACCCCTTTCTTTACCCCATCCCTGCTTCATTCACCCTTTACGACTCCTTAAACCCTCCCTGTATACATACCACATTTGTGCTATGTAACCATACTCCCGTGCCTATTTTCCGCGAGAGGGAAATAAACCATCAAGCGGGAGAAACAGGTTCCCAAACCTGCTTCCCCATAGTTTCCACCCTCCCAGTCTTCTGAACCATTTCCCCCATGTTGGGCAGTGATAGACTGTAAACCTGCCCAAGCATCCGTTGAACATCCATGGGGGATATCTTTGCAGTCGCAACTGTCTTTTCACAGTTAGAAGGCTCAATCCGGCTAATTTTGCGGTCGACATCATTCCTCGATTCCTGTGAAATGTACAGGTAATTACCGCTTTCTTCTGCCGCAACGTCGAATACGACTCAAAGTCTGAAATGTGCGGTAACTAAAAATCCCATTTTCACACCACACTTGGTCAAAATTCTTAGGGAAATTCTGGCAGGTCAAATTCCTTCCATGAACTTCGATCTTGGTTCCCAGAAAATCCCGCGTGCCCTCCCCCTGATTAGTCCGCTTCAGTGTCACATTCGCGTCGTAGGTTTGCTCGAACTTCTTCATGATCCTTTCTCGGCGGGCGCCTCCATTCCTCACCGGGCACCAGATGAGGATGGTTACGTCGTCAATTAGTCTCCAACCTTTGACCAAACTCCTATCAGCACCTAAGCTCGACAATAACGTACACTCGTTCATGGCGCACAGTATGCATGCCAATGGGGGGCTACTGCTTTTCCCCATTGGAATACTAGCCCGTTGTTGAACCAGTCTGCCAGCCGCGAATATGTACATATGTTTCAGTTCAAAATTCACCATTTCTCTTACCAGGTCAAAGCTAATCTTCATCCAAAACTCGTTGCCATCCTTTTTCGCAAAAGCTGCTCCTTTCCCCCTTTTTCTGATGCTTGCCATTGATCTTCCCTTCCCTTCGTACCATCTCTGAATCCATTCCAGCACGGAGATTACCGAATGGTGTGGGAGTTGGCTAAACATCTCTTTAATATCGAACGCCGCACCCACCAAGTCTCCTTCTCCCTTCTTTCGAGCCCATTCGTTGGCCTCTTCAACCCTATCCTTCAACTGCCTGGTCGTCTTCAGATTGAAATGCATTATCTTTGGTAGCAGAAACAGCAGGTGATTTAGAACTCTGGCTACTCTGCTGCCTGCTGTCTTCGTTGGTTCACTGAAGGATGGACTAATTGGTCGAAACCTCTCAATGTCCTTGTGTTTAGGCATGATATAGGCTTGGCCAAACGTCCCCTTTCCATCCCACTTTCCCAGTTTTTCCAGGTTGTGTTGCTTGTAATCCTTTTCACATTTCCCTAACAGTTCCTCCTTCTGTTCCCAGACAGTGGTAAAATTGTCGTTACCCCAAAAGACTTCCTTCATTCCTTTAGCATATACCTTCGGGCACATCATTGCCGTGTCAGCATTATTACGATCCACTGCGCAACAGACCATGCCTTTACATAGTTCCTTAACTTTTTTCAACTGACTGGTATGATCATTATGAGCCACTATCCTTCCGTTCACACATTACGCTAGCTCCCCCTTGTTGATTACCGACTTTACTCCCATCCTACCAGACTGTCGTTAACTTCCCGGAGAGTTGTCTCCTTCCTCCCTCCTCCTCCCATGTACACCACGTTACGGGCGTTTCTCACGAAATCCGGCACATCCGTCACTTCGCTAAGCTTACAGTGCACGGGACCCTCCCGCCGCGGGAGGGCACTGTCTGCGCAGTTGCAGACACCAACGAACTACTGAGACGCAATCCGATGGTTGTGGAGCGACTGACCCACGGTAGGATTTTTTTTCCACACCAAAAGGAGTCGCTGACACATGTACTCAGCTAGCGGTTCGGGCAGGTCGGCTCGTATCTTCCCAACTACTAGCTCCCTCAACTTTCGCAACGATAAATTTAGGTAACAAGTCACTGTCACACAAAACTTCCTTCGTATGCTTATCCTAAACTTTCGCCATACTACCCCGGCGAGCAGATCCTTGAGAGCTTTCCTATAAGCGGGTTTGGAGAATAGGTTAACTGCCAACACCAGCAGTAGCAGTCGCGATAGATCGTGCTTATAAAGTTTTTTCTTGTACCAGGGATTCCGAATAGCCTTGTGCAACTCACGCTTCAGCTCCTTATTGGCTTTAGATAGCTCCCTCGGCTACCACTTCTCAATTCTGAATACCCCCCCCGGCCTCCAGCTCGGTTTTGCTCTCCTTCAATGGTTTTACCACCCCATCCGCTTTCAACAGTGTTTCCCCGACCTCTTTTCGTACCGTATTCCAGTTCGGTGTCCACACCGTCCCTCCCTCTGATTTAAACTTCTTTCTTCCTTCCCATGCCCTCCGACATACCTCAACGAGCTTGGTTGTCCGGAACTCGTCAGCTTCGAAGATCAAAGGTCGTTCGGTACGTATATCGAGTGACCGTGCTTTCCTTCTCTCCTTCCTCCCTTTTTGCTTTTTTCGGCCTCCCTTCCTCCGCTTTCCTTTTGCATTTAGTGACGGACACCACCGTCTGATAAAGGTGTTCTCAACCTTTTCCAGATCGTTTTTCGAAACGAAGGCGATCGGAAGGGCCACGTAACTACCATGCCCGTGTCTTTTGAGCCAACTATAAAGCTTGGAATGTCGAGACCCCTCCTGATTGTATGCTCTGTACGTGTGTTCCTCCCATCGCTTAAGTAACTCCCGACTAGTCTGACCGATATACTGAGCTCTCACACTAGGGTCGATTAGCACGTACACACACGACTCCGGGTTTTCCCACTCCTCGACATCCCTATCTATCAAGTCTAACCAGTTCCCTAAAAACTTCACCCCCCACTGTAACTCCCCGTTTAGGACGAGCAACACTACTATATATCTCAACACACTTTCAAGAATCCCTCTCGGTCGTCTAATCCCTACAGTGGGTACGTTTGCCAGTTTCTTCCGCATATCTAAATGATTACTGAGCTCACTCCATACGCTGGTCACTACACCCTGGTTCGTTCACAGGGTCTTGCGTTGGTGCTCCGCGTGCGTCTTGAGCTGGTGCTCCGCGTGCGTCGTGGCACGCTTCTTGAACTTCCCTAATGATGATGCCACCACCACGTGGTCTTGGCGTAACTGCTGACTGTTGAGTTGCTTCGATGCTGAAGTACATTACCCTCAGATCAATTAGCTCATCGACTGCGTCAGGTCGTCCTCTGTACGCAACCCCTGCTTCTCTACACATCGCCTCTATGGTCGGCTTTGTCTTCTTGCTAAGGAACTTGCGAAGCGCCTTTCGCAAGCCCATCATCGTTCGGTAGTCGTCCGCAGCTGGCGCTCCTTCCCACAGGCTGGATTCCTAATACGGGTACCCAAGTTGTACCCCATCATTACGGGCCCGACGCTGAGGCACTCCAAGTCGGGGAGAGCTCTCCATAGCCCCAGGCGTGAGCGAGGCTGATGTGGAAGCTCTCCCCACCTTAGCAGGCGACTCCGCCGGTGGGCTGACTTGGGCTGCCGTTTTCTCTTCTCCAGGCGCTCCTCGGGGGGTTCCTTCGCCTCCTCCTCAGAGCTTGACGAATTGGCCACTGCTTTGCCTTTCACGGCTTTTTCCGATACCACCGCCTTACGCAACTTCTTATCGAACATTTTCTCAAATTCTTCTCTCATTGCTTCTTTCTGTTTCGCCAGGAGCACTTGCAACTTCCACTCCCGATCCGCTTCCTTTTCTCCTTTGTGTTCTTTTTTTCAAGCTCAATTCTATTTCGTTCCTCTCTGGCTACTAGCTCTTCCTCCTGTCTCCTTCTCCGTTCATTAGCTTCTCAGGTTTCGTTCTCCTGTCGCTGCTCAACTTCCATCTGTCTCTGTGAAAATTGACACACCATCCGAATTGACTCCTCCTGGTCTCTACTAAGTCCACTTGCGTTAACTGGCCCGTTGGATGAAGAACTGCTAGCGCCATCATTAAGTTGCCTCCCACCACCGTTACATCCGCTGCCACCATTCCCATTAATATGTCCGTTGTTGTTTCAATTGTTCCCTTGTCGCGGCGCATTACACTCTCTGGAGATATGGCCGAGCTGATTGCAGTTGTAGCACCTTGCTGATCTTCTCCAATCGCCACCATTCCCTCCGTTTCCGTTGCTCCCACCTCCGTTGTTGTTCCAACCTCCTCCGTTACCATTCCGCCCGTTTCCGTTCCAGTTACCCCCGTTTCCTCCATTCCAATTCCCGCTGTTATTGCCACCGTTACCATTCCCCCAGTTACCCCCATTGCCGTTTCCGCCATTCCATCCACCGCCTCCACCGTTACCGTTGCCTCCATAGCCACCGCCTCCACTGCCACCGCCCCAGTTGCCTCCATGGGAGCACCCCCATTGCCACCGTTGTTCCTACCTCCACCGCCTTCTCCGCTGGTGCTGCTCCAGTTGCCGCCTCCGTTATTACCCCCACCTCCGTTATTCCCGATACTCCAATTCCCTCTTCCGCCATTGCCTCGACCATTTCCGTTATCACCACCGCTAGCCATTGCGGGTACTGCTTACGAATTCGTCGTTTTTTTCTTATGCTCTTCGCTTGAATGATATCTCCACTCCGTCTTCGACTCAGCTCCAGGACAGATCCTATTGCTACGAGGCCACCAGAGCGCAGGTCGAAAATCCTGGCAGGTTGCCGTCGTCGGTAGTTGATGCAGAAAACAGGTGTCAGTATATGTAACCAACACATAGCCGTGCTAACGCGGCGTACACATGTGTGAAACAATCTCGAAATATTTCACGAAAGATCATATTTAACGTGCATGAACACCATAGCCGTAGCTATGGTCACCTCCCTCCACTTCGTCAGGAAAGAGTGAAAGCCCAAGAGAAGAGAGTGCTGGCATCCCCGACTAGTTTCGGTCGCTGCCAGTTCGCGACCTCATCAGGGGGAACAGTTTCGAGATGTCGAATTCCTAGGAACTACCTGTCCTAAGTACTTGATCGTCACATCTAGAGACTACTCGAAAACTCACTTCTCAGTACTACATCTCCGAAAACCGTGGGCGTGTCCTTCAGCCGCTGTAGATGCCTTCGCCAGCGTTCTCAGTCGGGTTCAGGACTCCTCAGCCGCCCTACTGATTTTTCATTTTTTCCTCCTCTCTCGACATGTCCTGTGCGAATCGGAAAAAACAAACCACCCTGAGTAGACATCCTTAAAAAATCTTACGAAATCCATAAGAATCCCAATTGAATAAACTCCTAAAATCCTACGAAATCCACAAGAAACCCAAATCAATAAACTCCGAAACAGGAAATCCAAAACGTGTGAGCTTAGTCCAAGCCTCAGTCCTCTGGGTGTTCGTCGGCTTGCCACATTCTTACCCCTCGAAGCAATGCTGTATTCATCACCGCTTCACGAAAAAGCCCCCGCTACTACGTTTCAGAAAACGTGTTACTGCTCAGTCAGTGAAACCTCCATTATCTGACTCAGTAAAAGCTCTTAGCTAGGCCCACGGTCATATAACCCTTTCTTTACCCCATCCCTGCTTCATTCACCCTTTACGACTCCTTAAACCCTCCCTGTATACATACCACATTTGTGCTATGTAACCATACTCCCGTGTATATTACATACTCCTCTGTGTGTGTGTGTGTGTGTGTGTGTGTGTGTGTGTGTACACACTGGGTGGGAGGTGGGGGGGGGGAACTGTGGGGAGAGAGAGTGTGTCTATGGAACAGTGTGAATGCATTTGGCACAGTCAACGGACCAGATTCATTCAGCCTGCAAATCTCGAATGTTTCCAGACCATTGACAGCACCAGACTCAGCAGCAGTTTGCCCAAAAAAGAAAGAACAAAAGCAAAAAACAAGAACAAACGCTTTGAAAAAAAAAAAGAAAAAAAAAAAGAAAAGAAAGACGCTTTGGACGTGATAGCACTTGAATACATTCCCAGAAGTACTTGTGTGAGTATGCCCTCAGTGAGGGTGTTACACTGGGGCAGTCAGATCCACGAGAGAAGAAAGATACAGCGGGGCAGTCAGATCCAGGACAGAAGATACATGTAAGCAGTCATCTTAGGCTGCAGCGTAGTTCTATCGGCCAGACTCTCTTCTGGGCAGGCATGCCCTGCAGCATGATGTCTGTTCAGTCAGCCAAACAATTACTTTTATTTTATTTTATTTTACTTTTTATTTTAGAAAATAGCACCTGCGTAAGCCCTCTTTCCCGGTGGTGGTGAGAGAACCGTCAGAATAGAGGGCTTATCTGTCGGGCTGCTCCATCTATAGGTGGGGAGGTGCAGCCCCCCACCAAGAGCGGGAGCCTCCCCCTGGGAGAGCTAAGCTAGCGGTGCCTGCTCCTATCAGCACCTCTAGCATCAGCTGGGGTTGAAGAAGAAAGAAAGAAACAAAGAAAGAAAGAAAGAAAGAAAGAAAGAAAGAAAGAAAGAAAGAAAGAAAGAAAGAAAGAAAAAGAAATTGAAACTGCACTGTGGTCAGGAAAGCAGTTGGATACATTCCCAGAAGTAGCAGTGTGAGTATGCCCTCCTTGAGGGCGTCAAAGCCATCCATGGAATCACAGACCCCTGCCGCGTGGGTGGCAGGGTGAATCTCGGGGTTGGGTGATATTCAAGGGTGGTAAGCTTTGCCTTTGTAGGGTTTGTTTTTGCTGTTTTTTCTTTAGGTTATCCGTGTTGTGCACAATAGGGATTTTGTCACTTCGTTAAATTTGCAGTGCAGTTTTCTGGATTGTAACCTTTTCAATGATGCGAGGAACGTCGGACCCGTTTTCTGGGTTTTATAATTCAAAAGCGGCCGCCGGAGTGCCTGGATCATACGGCACTCTGGCCGCCCTTTAAAAAAAAAAAAAAAAAAAAAAAAAAAAAAAAAGAAGGAATGCGCCCTGCCTTGCTGACAGGGCACTACAAAGAAAACAAACAAACAAACAAACAAACAAAAAAAACAAAAAAAAACAAAAAAAAAAAAATCATAACATTTCCCACTATCCATAATAGTGGTGAGATACATTCCTGAAAGTACTACTGTGAGCATGGGCAGAAAAACATAAATCATAACATTTCCTACTACCCAGAATAGTGGCGAGATACATTCCGGAACGTACTACTGTGAGTATGGCCTGGGTCAGGGCCTTCCCCTACATATAGGCTTCATAAGAAATGTTCGAAATGCCCCTCCGACGTCCATTTATTTGCGGTATGCCCCGCCGACGGCAGGCTTACCCTGTCGCGCCCCTCCGGAATGATTGAAGTTTCCGAAAAATCCCTGGCATCGTTTGCGCCTGACATATGTTCAATATGGCCCTACGGGTACTGGTTCCAAATTTCCAGTATGCCCCAGTAGCTCCCCTCCCAGCCCCTGGAGCATGGTCCCATTAGCAGTCGGATAGGAGTGTGGCCTATCCAGTGTGACAGTGTGACACTGAGTGGCAGCGGGCTGACAGGTTCATTAAGAATTTATGGGCTGAGAAAACAGGAGAAAGGCAAAAAAAAGAGAAAAAGGAAACAGAGACCTGCCACTGGAAGTCACGGCAGAGTGCTTCCCAGTCATCAGATCACAGATGATCTGATGGTGGTGGTTGTAACAACAGTGAACAAAGTAACTGCCACATTTTCTGGAATAAACTCGACTTCTGTCAGCAGGGATCCTGATACCCTCCATATATATACACTCCGTGATTGAAGGAGGGCTCCACCCAATAAGATAATTGCACAACAGCAAGTAAAATACTGAAAATCTTCTATCCGGTGGGCCTATGGCCGACCCCACCCTCTTTTGGGGTTGGCCACCCCCTCAACCGATTGAAAAGATTCTGGCGGGAAGCTTTCTTTGCACGGGCATGCCCAGTGTTAAGGAGAGGAGGAGGGGAACAAAGATCTCCTTACTTTTTCGGGTAATAAAATAAATGTAAAATACTGACCGTGGGATCACTCAAGAGTACTGCACGGCAGGATTTGGGTCACTCAACTGTCCCACAAACTCGTTTTTATCCTATCCCGTTGGGACCATGCTCCAGGGGAGCGGCCTCAAGTGCCACCAACTGCCACAGGGGCACGCTGGAAAGTTGCACCCCTCACTGACACAAGGGCTATTTCGCACCCAAAAAAAAAATAAAAAAAAATAAAAAAAAATGGAAAACTTCAGAGGTCCCAGGGGCACGGCAGGGCAAGTCGGCCGTTTGAGGGGCATACAGCAAATAAATAGAAGTCGGAGGGGCATTTCAAAAAAATTCCCTTACAAAAATGGTTTTTCCCAGCTTTTCCAGATTTTAAAACCTAATTTTCTAAGAATTAAAGAAAGCAAAATCCTTCTCCGGGTTTTCCTGTCAGCCAATGGGCTGGAAGCCAGTGAATTCGTGGCTTCTTTTTGAGGATGGGTTCTTCGGTCAGCCAATGGGCTGCTTCCTCTGATTTTCATTTTTCTAGTTTTGTTGATTCTGTGGAGGCCGAGAGCAACACGGAAACATTGCAAAATCACCCCCCACTTTTTTTTCTTTTTTTTTTTTTAAACAAGCCTAATTTCAATTAAAGCCTGGAAACGGGCCCAGCCAGCGTCTCTCACATGAATGTTGCAGCCATACAAGGCTGAGAAAGGCACTTCCAGCCAATCCCAACCCCGACCACAGTCGTCCGGCTACCGAGACCCCGGCCCCCCCCAGTACTAAAAAAGGAGGAAAACCAACATGTTCAGGCCTCAAGGCACAAAAGAAAACTACCATCCTGTAAAGACTAAAGGTCAGATCCCACTACCCTGGATTATTCATTTTTGACCCTCGATTACGAAGATCAACGGTCAGAAATGAGAAATAGGGGCTAGTGGGATCTGGCCCAAACAATATCCTATCTGGGTTTCCAACCCTATGAAAAGTAACCATATCCTATCTGATTATCCTTTTTTTTTTTTTTTTTTCCAATCCTATCTGATTATCCTAACTGAGTGTCAAAAGATCCCCAGACACTTATCTACAGCAGTCAATTATCCTTATACGGCATTATGCAGTCTATCTCACCCCATGTACTCGTAGTATCTCGTACATATGTACAAATTGTTACAGAGGGTGGCAAATTCACAGATTCACAAGTACACAATCTCGCAATTTTGCAAGTTCACAAAAAGTTATTAGAAAAAAACAAAGTAGGAAACGCTCCCTTTTTTTTTTTTTTTTTTTTTTTTTTTTTTTTTTTTTACACAGAACAACCCGAGCGGGTGCTAGGGGTGCTGGTAAGAGCAGACAGCACTAGCACGCCCGGGGAGGCTCCATCTATTGGTGGGGAGCAGCACCTGCTGGAAAGCGGGTCCAGCGTCCCTGAACATTTGATTGAATGTTTGTAATACTTTGTATGAATGAATAAACATGCTGTAGTGTGGCATGTACCCTGTAGGGTCTGTCTACCCAGGATGATGTTTGACAGTTGGAAATCTGGGCAACTGGGTTGCTTGCCTACTTGCTAGCCCATAGAGGGTGACCGAGCTTGCCGATCCCCTGACTAGATGAAAGAGCACCGGGCAGGGTTATCTATCTCCTCTCCCTTGTCAGAATGTCCTTTCTTGCCTGTGGAACCTGGTACTGACATCTGTGAATGATATCCGGAGCGTG